GTGAGGTGAGGGAAGGAAGGGTGGTCGCAGCCGTGAGGTGAGGGAAAGGTGGTCCCAGCCGTGAGGTGAGGGAGGCCGGTGCGGGGACGAGGGGAAGTCAGCGAGGGAGCCGCTCTCTCCCGGGAAGGTGGGGGGGTGTTGAAACGACGATTCACGTACTTCATAGCAGCTATGAGGGGTGATGAGGTGTCTTAAAACTTAAGTCCATCGGCTTTTCTCTTAGCAGCCTCCCAGCAAAGGGAAAAACAAAACAAAAAAAACCCACCTCCTGCCTTTCAGTGATTGTAACCTGTGTTCGAGAAGTGTCAGTGCGTGAGCGCTTACTTGTTTAACTAACTTGGCCGTATGTATTTGATACGGCTGATGCTTCTACAAGGCTTGTCTACGCAAAATTTGGGGAAAGGGAACGGACCTCTTCTGGCCCTGATCCAAACCACCAAGGCGCAAAGCAGCTCTAGTCCAGACCTGGGGTAACTCGGTGCGATGCTGTGCCCCAGCCAACAAGCCCTACCTAGGGTCTAGGCTAGTAAACTGCTCTTAGCATAACTATGCGGTTTCCTGGTCAGAACTGATGATTTGTGTTTGACTGCTCAGTTCTCGGACAGCACAACTCTGTCAACGTCTCTTTGGCTTTTTTGTGTTGTTAGATCAAGGACGTTGTATTGTTTTCTGTCTCTGGAAAGGTTTCTGACTTCTTTTGCACAAAGCATCTTTTGCACACTTTTGAAACCTAGACATAGGATAAAGGACAGCATTTGTTGTCCTTTGAAACCTAGACATAAGATAAAGGACAGCATTTGTTGTCCTTTGGAGTCCTATGGAGTTATCCATATTTATTAAAAAAGAAAATTGCCAGAACTGCAAGTATAACCCTAGATAACGATATGACCCTATTCCTAGCTCTTCAGGAAATTGGTTTCCAACATGGTCTCATATTTTCTAAAATGACAACTTATATAACATCAAGTGTTACAGGAGAGAACTGAAGGCTTATATCTGCCGTGGTACAAAAACATCTAAATGATGGTGTTGACTTGAAATAAAAGCTAGTCATGCTTGATCAAAGTGGGTCAGAGCACGCTTGAGATTTCTTGGTTTTTTTCTCCTAAAATTTCCATTTTCTTACAACATCTTCCATTCTTTTTCAAGTCATTTGTCTTCCCTTTACTTCTCAATACCCAGATTCTAAGCCTTTGGCAACAGTTGTTGTTTTCTTTTATGTTTTGGTAGAGTACCAAGGTCAGGTGTGGTTGCAGCCTCCCCAGGACTGTACACTGGTACAGGAGACTTCTGGATCATATGAGCTGAAGCATACATACACCAGACAAAGCATCAGAAATTTCAGAGAGAGAGAGAGAGAAGTACATTCTTCTGCCCTCTTTCCCCTGCCCCCTTCTACTAGAAGTTGCTTCCTCCTTCAGAATTGTTAATTTCCCACTCACTGGCTATTTTATGAACATTATCATAATATAAATTATCTACATCATCAACATCTACAGATGTTCAGAAATGAACTAGAAGCAGATGCAGACTTGGATGCACGCATGGTTCATAATTTGATGTGCTCAGCCAAGTCTGTCACTTAATTTCAAAGATGGCTGCCTGTCTTCTTCAATGCAGTAACGGATCAGACTTCCCAGGGATGACATTTTTTGATTCAAAGCAGATTTAGTAGCAGAGGTTAATGATGAATTTTAAAGATTTTAACTTCACATTGAAAAGGAAGATGAGTTTGGTATAAAAGAAGGTGGCAAAAATAGCAGTTTAAAAATAATTTTCTACGCAGATTGGACAAATGGTGGGAACTTTGCAATGCCTTTCTGCAGACAAAAATCCTATTCCCAATCTACCACTCTTTTCCTGCTTTCATTTTGTTTTCACTAGAGAAGCAGCATTAGTGGGTGGTGCTAGTGACAACACTGTCTAGTTCTCCCACTTCTCCTCTTCAGGTGCTTCCAGTTGAAACATGGAAACCACATGCTCTGTTTCTGGGTCCTGTGCTGGGCAAACAGAATGCATGTTGTGCTGGTTTTAATTTAACACAATTGAAAAGCTGTAGCATGCTGCAGACAAACATCTTTGAAAACACCTTGAGGAGATCTTCAAACATTGATAGCCTGGAGCTTAATTGTGCTTTTTAATTACGTTAAGACAATTTGAATGAGCCAGTGTGATAGATTGCAACCACACCTTTGGCATGCCAACACGTACTTCTGAGGGAGCACTCTAAATGTGCAATGCACAGCACTAGAATATTTTGCATACTATCATTTTCAGCCCATGTGGTGGATTCAGGAAAGCAATAGCCTATCACCCCAAAAAGAATGTCCCTCGTGCCTGTAGGACGTGAGGACCACTGGCCATGGCAGTCTCTAGAGAGGTACCACTGCTTAGCTCTGCCTTCCTTCTGAAAAACATTTGAAGTGTAAGGATAGAGGACAAGAGTAATGCCTAATGGACTATATTTCTAACTACATAACTTTGTCAGTGGTCAAAGCGAAGGAAGTATTCATATCCTCATAGCATTATGAACATATCAATCTGTTCCTCGTCATATTGTTTCCAGACTTCACTCAAGGATATGACACCTTCTGCTCCTCTGTCCATGATCTCCCAGAAGCTTGGGTTCTGTGACTGGTGACAGGTTCCCACACAGAAGGTAAACCCATTTTCTCTCATCTAGCTCTTCACCTTCGCCTTTCCTATCTGAAGCAACTTTTGTAGGAGAAAACATTACTATCCAGCATGGTGCTGCACCAAAATTCTCAGACTTTTCTCTAAGCTAAAGTCATAGTCCTCCACACCCTGAGAGTGACAGTGCTTCTGAGAAGGATGGCTGTTTTGAGCCTTTATGCATAGCTAGGCCTCTGACCATGGATGCTGGCCTCTTAGCTTTGATGGGAATGATATGAAATGTACTAATGGGTAAGCACATCTTATTCTACCCGCACCATGGCTTGTCTGAAGAGGCTGTCAGTCAGCTTCAGTTTGATGGACTAGCTAGCACCTGCTATTAACCTTCCAGCTAAGACGTGTGTTCCCTGGTCTGTTCAAAGCAAAATGAGATGGGTAACACTTAAACAGTTTAAATAATGTTTTTGCTAATCTGGGAATTTTCACTGGCTTAAGGTCAGCAATGAGGACAAAAACCTCTTCCACTGGAAGAAACCTTGTGTCTAACCCTTAGGAAACAGGTTGTTATAGTTGTTGTGATGTGCTGTTGAGGCATATGCAGCAAAGCGGATGCCGTTTAACCAGTCAAAACGGGTTTGAACTTGTGTGCCGTGAAGAGGAGCCTAACAGTTTCTGGCCACAAAGAGCAATTGGCCTAGGAAACACAAACTGCAGGGAGAACAAGGAAATACTGGTAAAGGCCAGCTGATGGGATCAGAGGGCTTTTCGGTAATTTTTGATAATAAGCACTTTTCTGTGTGTGCTTATAATGAATCAGATAAGGTATGGGAATTATCTAAATTAATAACACTTTGAGGATGAATTCCAAGAGCGGGTAATTGGTCTTTATCCTCCCATAGAGAACATCCCAAATATCCAGGGGTGAGAGGAAGCAGTGCCTCCATTGCTTCCTTACCTCCCAGTTGCAGTCTGGAAAGCAGAGCTGAGTGGGCTGAGTGTCAGATTGCTCCCTTTCTCTTTAGTCCAGGTGAGATTAAAGTTAGAGCAGTGTGGGAGGGGAAAGCACATCAATCATCTTTCCAGATGAAATTTAGAAATCTACTCTAAGATTAAACTTTTCTCTTGATTACCTCCACTTTCCTCTAAAACTTGACAAAGTCATATTTCTTTTTGTTTCAGTGGGGATGTTTTGCAGACAACTTGTGAAATCAGTAATTTTAAAGATGACTAAAAATTCTAGACTTTTGAGAAATGTCAAGAGATGGGAGGCAAGCATTGCTTGAAATGTCTAATCCTGATTATTAGTGGTTATTAACTCCAAAGCGCATTACACTTCTTTATAAAACCAAACAATCTTCTATGTTTACTTCGTACTCCATAGTAAAAGACTTCACTTTACAAAGGTAACATTACTTTTTTACATGGTAGGCATCTTAGATGACTCTACAGTGACTATATATTTTTGTCATTTTGTGAATTACTAGCTTCACAATGGGATTACAACAGTTATTACAGGAACCATGAAGAAGAGGGGGATGTAAAAATAATGTATAGACATATCCAAAAGGCTACAGCTAGTGTCCAAGTTTTTATTCTGAATGTCTATCCAGAATGCCTGTGTACCTACACAGTCAGAGGGTGATTTCAAGCAGTGGCTCCCTTTGAGCTTACAGGGCGGTAGCTGTCAAAATCTTCAGCAATTAACAGCTATTTGGCCATGCTACCAAACGTGGTACCCCTCCAAACCACTTCTGTTCCTATGACTGTCACAAAGAAAATGAGGAACCTTGTTTGGATGGTCAGATATGGATAACCCATCATGGTTTGACTGCCTCTTTTACAGAGCACATAAGAGTACAGTTACCCATGCTAGCTCTCCAAGAAGCGTAAGGAACCACTACTCTTCATAAATCCTAGCACCATCAAGAGTCTTCTGTGATGAGTAGCGTATTTGTGAGAATACATCTAGGCATAAAGCATACATTTCGTGTGACATGCTGAACACAAAGAGCATGGAAGCTTTAGGCAACCGATCAGAATTAAAGATCGTTAAAATCAGGGTCTGAAGAATATATTCTACCTTTTCACTGATGTTTCCTACCCAGGCCACCTACAGTTGTAGCAGTTGCATGTCTGAGGTAGGGAAGAGTGAGGGAACAGTTTTCAATCCTGT